TCCATTGGCAAAAGAGGGGAAAGAGTGGGCGGAGGCCTCTAAAGGCCCCCAGCAACCACTGTACTACTGTCTTGCCTGGTGCCTGCCTGGTGCCTGCCACAGCCCTTTGTGCTCTGAGTGGATGAGGGGCAGGAGAGGAGGAAAGGAAAGCCAATTGGACCCCTGGGCTCTGGAAATGCTTGGGGACAAAGATGGGCAGGGCCCCAGGGAGGTTCCCAGGCTGGAGAAGTGTGGCTGCAGCACCACACTACCACAGCAGCACAGCCCCACCCGGTCCTACTCAGGGCCCCTGAGGGCCCCTTCTGCTGACAACACGGAAGATCTGCCTGGAGGTGGGTCCCCAGGGAGGAAAGGTAACCAGACAAAGAGAGAATAACAAATCTAGAGGAGGTGACTGGCAGTTTACTAGGAACTGTCTGTCCCTTAGCCCCGCCTGGGGTAACCTAGCAGTCCTGGGGTCTCCCCTTTCCCATTCAAACATCCAACCAAACAGGGTAGGAGCCAGAAGCTCTCTAAGGATGAGAACACAGCACTGTTTGTGTGCTTCTCTTGGTCTAAGAGAATCTTTGCAAAGCCTGCATCAGGATGGAGCAGGGAATAACTCCCCTGCGTGTGTTAGACAGGCTCCTTTTCTGGCCCAAGCTGCCTTTAAAAACACACGAGTTTAATCATTGTAGCAAGGACTATTTATCTAGTGTCCGCTGTTTCAAGAACAACAATATACGGGGCTCCAGAGACGGCTCAGTGTTTGAGAGCACGGGCTGCTCTTGCAGATAACAGGGACTCAGTACCCAGCACCCATATGGCCCCTAACAACTGTCTGTAACTCGATGACATGACACCCTCTTCTGGCCTCTGCTGGTATTGCACCCACATGGTACACAGACATGCATGCAGGCAAAGCACCCCACACATAATCTTTTTAAGATAAACAAAACAAAACAGTAATATACATGACTGTATTTAATCCTCAAACACCCTGTGAGTTGTATCACTGTCATTTGAAGATGTGAGTAGAGGGCTCAGAAAAGTTAAGTACTTTCCCGCTAGGTCTCACTGCAAATAAAATGATGGAGACTTGAATTCAAACCCAAGTCAATTTCTACCCAAGGGTGAGACCCTTCTCAGAGCACACAGATGTTTTGCTGATAGGCCTAGGACAGGTGAAGGTGGACCTCGGCCTCACTCTTCCACTCTGTAACAAAGAGATACCAGCAAGGCTCTCACAGAGAAGTAAAAATGTAACCATGCCAGGGGTGGGGGTGGGGCAGCACTCTGTCTCCCTCTCTTACCAAGGTCTCTATGTAGCCTAGGCTGACCTCCGATTTAAGATCTCTGCATATACCAGGCAATGGTGGCTCACGCCTTTAATCCCAGCATTTGGGAGGCAGAGGCAGGTGAATCTCTGAGTTTGAGGCCAGCCTGGTCTACAAAGTGATTTCCAGGACAGGCTCCAAAAGATACACAGAGAAACCCTGTCTCGAACCCCACCCCCAATCCTCTGCATAATATGGAAGCTTCATAAATACAATGCTAATTATTTGTTCTTGAGGCAGAGAATACAAGGGCAGTTGAGACATGTGTTCAGATGTGTTAACATGCTCATACATGTGTCTGTCTTTCTAGGGAGCTAAGTGACTACACAACACTGTGCAGAAATAAAGGGACTCATGGCCTCTGAGTGGAGGAGTGTGTGTGGGTGTGCCTGGGAGCCTGGGTGTGTAAATATAAGATGCACAGATGCTGAAGCACCAGGACAGGCTAAAGGTGGGTATAGGTACTTTGGGGAGGGAGGCTCCCCTTTTTCCTTTGAGACAAGGTCTCATATATTCTAGACTGGCTTCAGTCTTGCTGTGAAGCTGAGGATGGCCTTAAATTCCTGACCCTCCTGCCTCTACTTCCCAAGTGCTGGGAATCGAACCTACAGCTTCATTCATGCTAAGCAAACACTCTATCCACCAAGCTTAATGCCCAGTCCTGACCTCTCTGACCTCCGGGAACCTCAGTGCCCAACCCATCCCTTGTTTCTAAACTGTTCGAACCCTTTTAAAAAGTGCCATCTTCCCATTCCTATCTTCTCTACTCTGAATGAAGATGGGCCATTCTGGAAGCTTCTACGTGATATGGTTCTGTTAGGGTGCGTGAGAGTTCCCCGGGATGCTTGATAACTGAAGTTACCGGATCTGTTCGTTGCCAATCTTTGTACTGTCACAGAGCAGTATCTGCTCCCAACTACACCGATCTTCCCCTGCACCCAAGGCAAACAGGGCACACCCAGATCACCCATCCATAGGGAGGAAATTGGGACCAGGGAAGGGAATGGAGCCAGGCAAGGTCACAGGGTAGGGAAGGGGTGGAGTTGGGTTAGTGGCTTTGCCTGTCGACAGGGTGACTTCGAGCTCTTAACTGTAGGGGTGGGGCTGTTGGGCTGTGTCATCCAGAGCAACTGCCTTCCAATCCAGCCTAGGGCTGGGAAGCTGAGGAGAGGACAGAAAACTACCTGGAGACAGTAGTAGGAGTCAAAGGTTCTCCCAATGCAGATGTGCCCAGCCAGCTGTGAGCCCATTTCTCTAGTTGGATACTGAAGCTGGCTTTGTAGCAGGATAGGGATGTTAGACCAAGTCAACATTGTCATTTCACTAATAAAAACTGTGTATCACAGGGCAGAAGTTACTTTGTTGTTTTGTTTGCTTGTTTTTTCCTTGTAGAGTTACTGGGAAAGACTTAATTTAGGGTTTGGGATTCTTATACAGGCAGTGAGAAGAGATTAACTTTTTTTTTTTTTTTTTTTTTTTTCAAGACAGAGTTTCTCTGTCTGTCTATCCTGGAACTCGCTCTGTAGACCAGGCTGGCCCCAAACTGATAGAGATTCCCCTGCCTCTGCCTCCCAAGTGCTGGGATTAAAGGCTTGCGCCACCACCACCCAGTGAGATTAACTTTTAATATGAAATCTGGGCCTCACTCTTCCATTCTGTAACAAATAGTATTAATGGCTTTGCCTGGCCTGAGTGGAACTCAGAGAAAGGTAAAAGTGTATCTCTCCAGAGGCAAGCCGCCCTACTCCCCATCTCTTTCCAGAGTCTAGCTATATAGTTTAGGTTTTATTCCAAGTCAAGACTTTCCTGAATGCTGGGGATACAAGCTACCACACTGGCTTATTTTACTTTTATTCTGTGCAAGGCATTACTACCCTAAGCACTTTGGAAATGTTACTATTTGCTACGCCTTGCAACCCCAACAGGCCACTGAGGCACACAGAGAGCAAATAACTTGGGGAAGTCACCCAACCAGCCTGTGATAGATCCAGGGCCCAGGCATTTTGCTGCCCCTGCAAATAGGGAGGCCACTAGCAGGGCTTTGAGGCTGAGGGCTGTTAGCTCCGGCTCTGGAACGCCACACCCTAGACCTGTAGGCTTGCCTTTCCTCTTGCTTATATATAGCTCCTGATCCTTGACTCGGGTTTGTGGGTTCAAGTTCTGAGGCAAGGGTAGAAGGCAGGGGCTCTAGAATGAAATGCACTTGGGTTCTATTCTGGAAAAAGTGCTTAATCAGCTCGGGTCTCAGGTCCTTCACCTGGAAGATGGGGACAACCACTCAGCCCTGTGGCCGCTTGAAAGACGAAATAAGATTAGAAACAAACAAAAGAGTTCAAAGCTCTTAAGAGAAATCCAACCAAACAAAACAAACAGCCACAAGAAGAGACCAGCTGTTGAAAGTCAAGCAGGGGACGCAGGAAGATCAGGAGTTCAAGGCTGGCCTGGGTTAAATGATATCGGATCTCAAACACAACACAAAAACAGCTGTTGTTAACAAGATATAGACTCCAAGAGGTTGCTTTAATGGAGGTAGGCTGGTTAAGAGCAAAATAAAGCATATAATTTCATGATAGGAATTGAACTACTCAGTGGGGGAGTCTGCTTCCTCTACATTAAGGACTCTGTCACTGAGTCCCAGAATGTACCCCATCCACCTGCATTAGGCAAGGTGGGGCACCAGAGGTGACTGGTAGGTCAGGAAGTTCAGAGAAGTGAACCCATTACTATTGATCAACCGTCAGGCAGCCTGCCAGGCTCTTTACCTGCATCACACTATCGGATCCCAAAGCTACACCTCGGAAGGAGGTGGTGGTAACCAATCACACTTTTAAATAGAAACAGAGGCTCCGATGGTTAAGTAACTTGTCAAGGTCACACGGCTCAAGAACAGCACGGCTAGGATTCGAACCCAGGCTTCTGTCAGTTTGTTGTGGTTGGAAGGAACTTGTATGATGTCCAAAAAGGGGTTCTTAGCTACTTATCACCCATCTTCTGCCTCAAAACATCCCCACCCACCTACTCACTCACTCATTGGCTGCACTGGATGAACTAACAGCAGGCCCCAGCATGTGCTACCTGGGGCATGCCAGGGCGTAGACCCTCTGGTACCCCGGAGGACAAAAGTGCTGCCAGCATACCCCCCACCTGAGCCTGGCAGCCACTCCCCTTCCCCTGCTCTCAAGAATCTGGAAGGCAGAGGGCTGTGGGACCCTCTTCAGGAGGTGCTGGGCACATTCTCATTCACCCCGGACTACTGCAGACCGGGAAGGAGGCTACAGGGTCAGGGAGCGGGAGACCCAAGCCCCCCTGGGCAATGGGTCCGCCAGACCTCTGACAAGGGGACCAAGGCTGGTGGCAGCACACAGCCCCAAGGGCAGCCAGCCCCTCTGACCTCTCTTCCCCACTTCCCAGGCCTCCTTCATTTTTCTGGGTAACCCAACGACAAGCTTTGGGACAGTCCGCACCAGGCGGTCAAGACAGCCGGGAGGGACAAAGCGCGCCCCCTCCCCCTCAGCAGGGCCTTTGCCTACTCCGGATTCGCGTCTGAATCTTCTCCCCACCGCACCCTCCAACGCAGGCCGGGGCGGCTCATGAATGAACTGCTCTGTGTGGGGCGCAAGAGAGGACATGCTCCCGGGGCCAGCCGTCCTCTCCCAGCCGGCACACCAGTCCCCACCAGGGCCAGGGCCAGCCACCCGTCAGGTGCCAGGACCCTCGAGCCCTCCCCTTTGCCCAAGCCTGGACCCCTTGTTCGAGGCCAGCTTCGTCCCCAGCAACAAGAGAAAGAATAAAAAGAGACCGAGGGCATTGGACTTGGCGACCCCAGAATGCAAAACTCGGGGGCGGAGGCGGGTGGTTCCCTTCAGCGGCGCCGGCGGCTGGGGAGCAGCTGGGACCCGAGGAGGGCCGCGCAGGGGCCGCGCACCTGGATGGGGCAGGTGGGACGAGAGTAGCACTCAAGGGCCGGGACAGAGGGGGTCCCACCCCTTGGGATATCCCAGCGGGGCGGGGGCAGAGGACGGCGCACATCTGGAGCCCCGACAAGGGTGGAAGGACTCACATCTGGCCAGGGACGGTGCGGGTATGGGGACAAAGCGTGCCTCCCTTGGGTCCCGCGGGGCCTGGGCACCTCTGGGTCCCGCAGGAGGTGGAAAGGAGGGGACGCGCAGCTGAGTCCGGGTGTTTTTTTTTTGTTTTTTGTTTTTTCCTTCCTTGGGGTGGTAGTGGGATCCTGTGCTCCAAGTAAGGGGTGCTGGGGAGGGGTCCGCGTACTCACCCCCAGGCGCAGACTCGGCTCCGACTCGGGAGCCCCGGCTCCGGGCGGGGCGGGGCTGGGGCGGGGGAGGGGGAGTCGCCGGGCGGCTTGAGCTCAGGGCTCCTGCGGCGGCCGCGGCAGCGCGTGGGGGAGGGGGAGCAGGAGGAGGGAGGGGAGCCCGGGGGCGGGGCTCCCGACGGGCCCGCCCCCCACGCCGCACACGTAGAAAGTGCGCGCGCACTCACGGAGCGCGCACTCACGGAGCGCCCCCCAGCGCGCAGGCGCAGGGTGCGGGGTGGGGCTTGACGTGCAGGTTTCGTGGCGGGAGATTCCCTGGCAGCCAACGCGGTATGATGGGGGCTCAGGGGCCACCTTGTTCCCGTCGCGGAGCTTCTCCTTCCTCTTTCTTCTCTGCCGTAGGGGAGGCGCTCTCGGGGAGGGGTGAGGACAAGCCATACTGGGCCCAGGGTCAAGTGAGAGGGGTCCCCCCCACTTCGCGAGGCCTCAGAGCTGGACCCTCTAGCCTCCTATTTGCCCAGGCTGCATGGTGCACGCCGCTTCCGCGCCTCCCACGCCCCCTCGATGCGCTCCCCTGCTTACCCCGGTCAGGGAGGTGGAGCCTCGGGGAATGGGAGCTGCGGTCTAGCCTGGACCAAGTAACTTAGGTCGGTTGCTCTGGCGTGTCTCCTGCAGTTTATCTGCTCCTCCTTCTCCCACTGGGTCTGGAGATGAGTTTGCTGGAAGCTTCTTCAGTGTAAAGAGGGAGTCCTTGCTTTCGCCTGTGGCAGGCAGAATTGCTCCTCAGGTCCAGGGGATTCCCTGCTTTCTCGGTTCACCAAAGACCTCACCTAGCAGGGGTTAATTCTGGGACGATGGAGAGGCGGACCGCCTCTTTTCTGTATGTCACCACACAAATCACGATCACAAAGACAGGACAAACACCACCTGTTTAATTGCGGGTTCTTAAAGGGAACAGAAGGAAATACTGCTTTTCACTGTGCGTAGTAAGTGAGCTTTGCCACGCTGAGACGTTAAGGGACAGATTATGTAGCGGTCACAAGAGCTGAGACGGAGTCACCTTGGGTTGCTTGGGAAATGCTGGCACCTAGGGCCTTGAGTCACGACTGGACACTGCCTATCCTGGTCAGTGTGTCTGCTGTATTTGGATATTCAGCTGCCTGTTTGTAGCTGTAAGGTTCGGTCTGTTGAAGTGTCTTTCAAACACTCCCATGAGTGACTTGAAAATCAGTTTAGTAGATCATGGCCATCGTGTGTGTGTGTGTGTGTGTGTGTGTGTGTGTGTGTGTGTTGCACTTAGAGTAGGTATTGTGTGTTGGGACAAAGGCACACTGTATTAGGTGTTTTATACTGTTTGTGTCATAGAGAAGTTTGGAAAAGCATTGATCTTTGTATGCCTCTCGATTTCCTCGGCTTGAGCTTTCAGTCAGTTTAAATCTTCTGAAGTTGCAGTTGGTGAGTGGCTAGCAGTGGGGCTTGCCTGTCTAGACGTAGGCAGGTGTTCAAGGCCATCCTCAGCTGCTTTGGAAGTTTAAGGCCGGCTTGAGATTGCCTGAGACCCTGTCTCAACAAAACCAAACCAACATACAAAAATCCAAACCCTTCCCAAACTATGAGAATTTTGTTGGAGGTAAGGGAAAGAAGATGGAGGTGAGGTTGTCACTGTAGACAGCTTAGTGGCAGAAGCCTGTAGGTCTGGGTTCTGAGAAGTTGTGTTGTAGTAAACAGTTCTTGGTGAAAAAGGATCAGTTATAATGTTTTGGTGTTACCCATTTTACCCACAGGGGTTCTTGGATGTGTCAAAAGTCCCAGAGGACTTTTTACATACCGTCTTGATTTGGATATCCCTGGAACAACAAAATTCACTGACAGTGGGTATCTGGAAAATGGAAATGGAGGCCATGCTAACTTGGTTTGGGGACTTCTAGGGATCACTGGAAGATGTTTCTAGAATTTGACTATTTTAAAAAACAATACAAGTGTGAATCTGAACCTCTGTGGGAGTCCAGCCCCCACACTTATTTACCCCAGGGACTCTTGAGGGATGAGGGATGAGAGACTTAGTTAGAAATAGAGGGAGAGAAAAAACACAGGATAGACCCAGGTGGGCCTGGATCCTTATCCAAACGGGCCCAGAACTGTATTCCAAAGGTCTATTTATAACAATGCCAAGGGGTGGAGCAAAAGGCCTCCCCCTTGCTAGTTAGACCCTTACAAACACCTGGTACCCAGGCCCATGGTCCAGTCAACCTCCCATGCAGTCCTGCTGGGTACAGCCACTAGGAAACCTAGGCTCCAACCAACCTCTGGGTTCCTCAGGCCATTTCTCAGTTGTCTGTTGTCTGAACACAGTGGCTAGAATCTTAGATGATGCAAAAATCCTCCCTCACCCCCATACAGGAATTTTCTGTGCAGCCCTGTCTGTCCGGAACTCACTCTGTAGACCAGGCTGGCCTTAAACTCAGAGATCCACCTGCCTCTGCCTCCCAAGTGCTGGGATTAAAACAAAAGTCCTGTGAAGATTACCTTGGTTTGCTCCTGTGTTGTTTGACTGTCACAGGTGGATCTGCCCAAATGTGTTTTCAAGTTGTTCGTTACTTGGTTCTGTGGGAACTTGGGAAGGCCTCAAGAAGTCAGATTATAGTTTAACCTGTATTTATTTGTTTGTTTATGTGAGACCTTGGCTCACATAGCCCAGACTGGCCTCAGACTCATGATCCTTCTGTCTCTGCCTCCAAAGTGCTGGGATTAAATGGGTGCACCTCCATACCTGACTCCCTCCATACCCGACTCCATTCTTCCATTTTAGAGGTTGAAGGTTTATCTGATATAATTTTACAGGTATGTTAACAATGATCGTCAGTGTTCAAGAAAGGATTGTGATTCAGGGCTCATGGTATTGTTCTGAGTCACGAAATGTGCTGACCTAGAAGGAGAGGTCAGTAGCTTATTATTCATTAGGGAATCAGGGTGGAAGGCCCCCCATCAAAAAACTTAAAAATCATGTCTGCCCTTGCAAAGTCAGGAAATACTTTCCTGTGTCTCCTCCTGAGAAGCACTTTGAGGATTTGAGATGAAGGAATTGGTGCTGCCTTGTGAAGGAGGAATGAGCCAGGAAACAAGCTACCTACTCTGGACCAGAAGGATTCCCCAGGTGGTCCCTCACCCAGGCAGCTCTGCTCTACCCAACGACCCCACTTGTCCACAAGTCATTGAGACCTGGAGAAGTGGCTTAAAGGTCACTGACATATCCGAGAGATGAGTTCTGCCAGGAACATTTCCTCTTTTGTTCTAACCTTGCTATCCCACATTCCTCTGGCTCCCTGACTTCTTCTCCCTGGTTTCTTGCCACTGGCTCAGTTAAGTCCTCATAGAAAGTTAAGCCTAAGATTAAAAACTGTGGACCAAGCTGATAAATGGGTTGTTCAGTGGCAGCTGTAGAAGAAATAGATCTTCATATTGTTGAAGGGAGCTGTGCTCCTTGGTAGTAGTGCTGTGAAAACTCACACCTGGGTAGAGTCAAATCGGCTTCTGTTTGCCCTGGGCTGTGCTGGGTGTGGTTATTACTATTGTTGTTATTGTTATTATTATTGACAGGATTTTACTATGTATTCCTGGCTAGCTTGGAATTCAGTATGTAGACCCGGCTGGTCTTGAACTCACAGAGATCCACTTCTCTCTGCTCCCAAGTGCTGGGATTACAGGCATGCACCACCAAGCCTGGCCTTAGTTGTTTTGTTTTCTTTTGGAGACAGTCTAATTTAACTCAGGCTGGCCTTGAACCTCTACGTAGCTGATGTTGGACTTGAACTCTTGATGTTGGCCTTGAACTCTTTATCTTCCTGCCCTGCCTCCCCGGTATTGGGATCACAGGTGTGCACCACCACAACAAAGGCAGCTTTTTATTTCTTGAGTTTTTAAAAACGTGTGCCAGCCTATGTGTGTGTGTGTGTGTGTGTGTATCCACACATACACACACACACACACACACACACACATACATAAATGTGTGTGTTGTGCTTGGTTTTGGTGAAGTTTTTTAGTGGGTAGACTGTATCTGAGCCATACTCCTGTCCTACAGGGCGTATGGGTAGGAAGTTTGAGCTCTGGTCTGGACTTGGTTGCCTTCTTACCTGGGAGGGGTGACAAGCAGTAGTACCATTTCTGACTTGGTTCATCCTCCTGCAAGATGATGCAAGTCCTCAGCTGGTCCAGCCTCTTACACTTGCCTGTTCTTATTTGTTTTTCTGTTTCCTTTGGGTGCCTAGGAATGAAATCATCAAAGAAAGCACTCTGGTGTGGATACTTTGAGAATTGCAACATATCAGACTTGTGTGAGGTTAAACTGTGTACACAAAGTAAACTTCCTGAAAGAGAATGAGAATCCGCAGGTAGGGAAACAGTAACAAGTGTTTAAGCAACAAATACAAGTATTTGTTGGTCTAGAATGATGGGAAGGGTCTTTTTCTGATTCTTCAAAGTGCCCAGGCCTTTGCTTTTTTCCTGCTATACATTTGATTTATTTTTGGAGACAGGGTCTCTGTAGGGGAAGCTGGCCTGGAGTTCCCAGCTGGCCTTGAACTAAAAGTGACTCTCGTGTTTCTCGGTCCTCCTGGCCCTGGTACTAGAAATTGAACCCGGGACATCAATGCAGGCCAGACAAGT